CATTGAGACTACAAATAACCAGAGTTTGTGAGGAATATCCAAGAGTGTCAGTCTGAGCAAGGCAACACTCTGCTGAGTTAAGCTCTCCAAAGACCTTGGGGCATTTGCTTCGACCGTGGTAAGGGTCGGTAGTGGTGACAAACTGCTCAGTGGACACATGAAGGCGATCAGCCGGCTGGCCAACACACGCTGTTGTTCCCTAGCGGCATACTCTGGCAACAAGGACTTTTCACTTTGGTTTTGCGCTGGCAGGTGGATGTCAGCTCTCCGTCGGTCAAGCTTTCTCTCCCGAGTGCCCACTCGTATAAAAAGGTACACCTTGAACGAGATTTGGACTTTGTTCCTTTCACCTCCCCTTGCCTGGAACAATAGTGTGATTAATCTATATCATTGGTTTGGAGTATGTTATGTTATTTCTTTATTGGCTTATTAAGAGACATTATCCTGTGTGCTACTGGCTTGTGAAACTATTATAAATCTCACAGAGAACCTGTGTTAAATAAACCAGCGGCAGAGACAGTCTCAGTCTCTGAGCATAATTTTGCCCCACAAAACAAAACACATTGGAAAGAGTTGGTGCTGTGTTTTATGCATGATCTATCTGGACTTACATATATCAAATAGAAGAGAAATATGAGTTGTTGAATATTACAAAACATTCTTCACCTGTCATACGCAATTATTATAAATACTGCACTAATTTGTGAACATATACAAAACCATGAATTGAAACATGAAAAGAAGTAATAAAAATAGATGCTGGGCACCATGGGGAAAGGATAATTTCTTGTGCAGAAAACTATTGCACTTATGCTGTCTGAGCGGAAGGATTTGAAAAAAAATAAAGCTTCTGTACTCCATAGCAGTGTCCATCTCAGACACTCGCAGTGGTAAAATCTACAGATATTCCTGAAAGCGGGACACAAATGCCTTTTGTTTCCAGGACATAGAGCAAGAGACATGCAGAAACACTTCCCTAGGATCTGAGTGGTGTTTGACAGGACCGCTGGTATTTAGGATTGCGTTTTGCTCTGTGTCAACACTGAGAAGCAGACCACAAGTTACAGGAGCGCCCATAGTCCTTTAAAAATTCTTTTGCGTGCATATACGTGATATGCGGGGACACTACTAACCCAGGACTACTGTAAACAAAACGATTGACTTGGAATTGTTGGATAGTGTGATATCCAGCTCCAAGTCTATGGAGGTGATGGCTTTTGTTAGAAATTCTCAAAGGAGGAATTTCTTTTCGTCTTTCCACCTGGATCCAAGGCCACCACGTATCTGTATCTTCATCATCATTCTTGTCAGATAGGTTTTGGTTTTTCCAATTTACTTAATGAATGTGTCATCTTTTGGAAATCTCCACTTTAAGTGGGAATTTCCAAGCTGACCAGGCTTATCTCCTACCTCTGCACACATGTCCTGTTAAAAATGAGATTCTGAGCCTGTAGGGATGGATAGACACTCCAGGGTAAACGCAGATTCAGCTCTCACTTAGCTCCATAGATTTACGTGGTCTCGCCCTTTCTATACTCTGAGGAATTCCTTTCCTTTACTACCAGCTCAGTTACGCATTAAGATGTTCTCTAAACACGGATTGTGTAGCATTTTAGGTGTGTTACAATTGGAGCAGCTCCTAATCTATTGTATTGCTAGAATTAAAGTGGTGTCTAACTCCTTGTAGAGCCCTGGAATATGTGTTATTTCAGCAAATTCCTCCAGCAGCGATGAGGTAGCTGGTGTTGATGCCATCTCATGAATAAGTTGCCAAGGCTCAGATGTTTGGTGACTTCCCACGTCATACGATTTTATGTGGCAAAGGATACTGTTGTACTTAGGATAAAGACCCAAGATAAAATTGAATTAGGACTTAAATTCAGGGGAAAAAGACAAGAGAGAGAGAGAGCAGAGGCTCAGAGGTTACATGGCGAGAGTGTGGTTTAGGATGGGGGAGAATGATCTTTAGAGTCAGACACATCTTGATTTGAATTCAACTCCCATCCCTTAATGGTTGTTAAAGCTTAGAAAGTCATTTAACTTCATTGATCTTCAGCTGTCCTACCCGTAAAATGGGACTAATAACACCTAAGTATGTAAAAGTAAGAAAAACTCAATCATTTAAAACAGGAATTAACTATAGCAATTTTTGTATTCCAATGGAGTGGCAAAGTTTAAAAGTTGGAAATGGAGCCTTATTTTGGAAAAACACCTTTATGATCATGTTTGACTATTAAAGTTGAAACTCTCTTCTTCAACTCCAAGGAATTTTCTGGAAAAAAAAGAAAATATATATACAGAAAGCTGAATTGCTCAGTATAACAGGAAGAGAGGAATTTTGAGTTTCCATGCAAAGTTCTGGAGAGAAGGGTTCCAAGAAGAGACAGGTGCAAGGAGAAGCTGAGGAGAAAGAAGGGTCCCAAGAGTAAAGGACATTGTGGGGGCCAATGGATGGTCATGGCCAGTGAGAAATTCAGGGTGGGAAATGGCTAATAGAGTTTTAGGATAGCAAAGTCTTCTATTCAAAGTTTAATTTTTGCCTATGTTGTCCTGTCATCTCCTACCATTACCTTAAAATTTCAATAAAAGTCTGCTGTCCATATTGGAGTGATGGCAGTGGTTCCTGTGGAAAATGAAGGAATTTGTGCCTTACCAAGCATGGAGAGAAGTGTGTCAGCAAGAGGACATGGCATCCACCACAACTGAAAGCAATACCCAGTCATAACAGTAAAAGTAACAACAATACTTGGCATTTATTGTGTACTAACATTATGCTTTATGCAATGTTCAAAATCTCTTAAAGCAACCCTAGAAAGTAAATGTTATCAATCCCTTACCAAAAAATATTCACTAATGTCCAATAAGTACACGAAAAGTGCTCAGCATTGTTAGTAACGAGGGAAATAAAAAAACCACAGTGAGATACCACTACACGTCACCAGAATAAATTTGAAAAAATCTGCCATTGCAAATGTCAGCAAGGATGTGAAGCACCTGGAATTATTCTACACTACATAGATAGCAGATTTGAATGCAACCAAATAAGTAATCACATTAAATATAATTGGACCAACCACGCCATTTAAAAGGCAGAGTTTCCTTAACTGGATGAGCAAAAGCAAGACCCAACTATATTTGTTTTATATGAGGTTGAAAACAAAATGATGTAACAAGATATACCATGCGAACACTAGGATAACAACGGTGACTAACGTTCCCATTTTGCCAGGAATTGGGAGTTTTTCCAGGATGTGGGACTACAGGGCTGAAAGCGGGACATTTCCTGGCAACCTGGGATGCTGGTCATTCTAAGAATAACAGATACGATGGGGCTAAATTAACATCAGTCAAATCAGATTTCAAGACAAGGATTGTTACTGGCTATACAGAGGGACGTGTTCTAATGACAAAAGGGTCAATTCACTAGGAAGATAAAAATATCTTAAATGTTTATGCACTTAATATCAGAATTTCAAAATATATAAGGCAAAAACTGTCCAAACTAAAGTAGACAGATTACAATAATAGTTTGAGATTTTAACAACCCTCTCACAATATTTATTAGAACAGGTAGACAAAAACAAGTAAGAGCATAGAAGATTTATCTTCATTTAATTGGCAATTATAAAATAAATAAAATAGCAAATATTATAAAATATTGTACACAAAAATAACTGAATACATATTCTTTTTCAACTGTACGTGGAATGTTCATGAAGATAAGCATATACTGGGCAAAAAAAAAAAAATGTCTTGGCAAATTTTAAGAGAGAGAAATCATGCAGAGTATTTTTACCTGACAGCAATAGAATTAAAGTAGAAATCAAAACCAGTAAGATATCTAGAAAATATTCAAATATGCGTAAATAAAACAAACTTCTATTTAACCAATGGGTCAAAGAAGAAATTGGGAAAATTAGAAAACATTTTGAATTTAATGATAACTAAAACACAGCAAATCAAAATTTTTGAGATGTAGCTCAAGCAGTACTTAAGAGAATGTTACAGAGTTAAGTGCTTGTATCAAAAGATAAGATTTTAAAACAAAGATTTAGTTTTCCATCCTAAGATTAGAGAAATAGGAGAGTAAATTAAAACCAAAGTCAGGAGAGATAAAGAAATAGTAGAAGAGTAGAAATAGAAAATGTGTATTAGAGAAAATTAACAAAGCTAAATGTGGATTTTTAAAAGATTAATAAAACTGATAAACCTCTAGCAAGTTATATCAAGAAATAGAAAGGAAAAAATCAAATGGCCAACATCAGGAATAAAGAGGGGTGCATCACTACAGATCTGACAGATATTAAAAGGACAACAAGTGGCCAAGTGACTCTAAACTCCTTTCCATGATGAAAACTAAAGATCCAGATGGTTTTCCTGGTGAATTCTATCAGACTTGTAAGGACAATATTTTACTAGTGTTATATAAAATCTTTCAGAGAGTAGAGATGGAGGAAATTTTTCCTAACTCATTCTTCTAGGCCAGTATTATCCTAATACCAAACCTAATGACAAAGAAATTCACAGTTCAATATCCCTCATGAACACAGAGATAAAAAATCTTTAACTACATTTTAGGAAATCTAATCCAACCAAATATAAAATGATGATCTAGGAGTACCAATGGGATTTGTGCCAAGCATGCAAGTTTGGTTTAACACTCAGAAAGCAGTCAAAGTAATTCATCACATTTAGAAAATAAAGGAGAAAAGCCATGTGATTATCTTAAAACTGTGGGCAAAGTAATTGACAAAATTGAACATCCCTTTCAAAAAATAGTAATTAGAGGAAATAGAAAATCCCTTTCAGCAAAATAGTAATTAGAGGAAACTTCCTTCAAGTGATAAAGTGCAACAAACCTTCATTTAATCGCTTGCTGAACACTTTTCCCTTAAGATCAGGAGTGGGAAAAAGATGCCTATTAGCTCTACCTTTTCTCAACATTTTACTGTAATTATAGCAACTATAAAGGTATAAAAAATAAATAAAAGGCCACAGAATAAAAAGGAAGTAAAACTATCTTTATTCGTTGAAAACATGATTGTGTGTTTAGAAAATCCTAAGGAATCTACAAAGAAAATACTAGAAATAATTACTACAAGTTCTACAGAATGGGTATTACTTCCATTCACTAAAATAACACTTGCTGAATGAATCTTGAAAATAGATTGTTAGAAATATCTTTATATAAAGTGTGCTTAAACACTTCACTACAAAAATGACAAAATCCAGCATACAAGGTTAACATATAAAAATCAGTTGTATTTTCTACCAATGAATAATTGAAAACTAAAATTTAAAAGGTACCATTTGTGATAGCATAGAAGAAATTTAGGAATAGATTAGCAAGTGTTGTCTAACACCACTACAACTACAAAAGAGGTGTTGGCAAATTTTTCTGTAAAGGGCCAGATAATAAATAACACAGACTTTGCAGGTTACATATGGTCTTGTTGCATATTCTCCATTTTTCTTTTTCTTCTTTTTCCTTTTCTTTCTTTTTTTTTTTTTTTTAACAAACTTTAATAGTTGTTAACACCATCCTCAGCTCATTGGCTTTACAAAAACAGGCTGCGGCACAATCTTGGCCCATGGGCTGTTAATTGTCAATCCCTACAGCAAAGTGTTTTCTGAGAGAAAATCTGAAAGTCCTAAATATAAGGAAATATGTACCATTTTGATGGAATGGAAAATTTAAGATTGGAAAGTTGTTAATTTCGATCAGGGTCCTTAAAGTGGATCCATGGAATTATTACAACATACGCTGGTGTCCTTGGGACATAAGACTTTTCAGCCAGGGTGGATCCTGCACCTGGGGGAAGAAAGCTCACAGACAGCTGTGTGGTTTGCTGCATGGCTCCCTTAGTGAAGAAATGCCTGAAGGGGTGATGCTGACAATTGGTGCTGTGTCCTCCTTTCCAGAGCTCCCAGAAGATTCCGAGGATACCGGAGCCCAGCGTGGCCTGTGGGTGCCTTAGGAGTTGAACCAATCCAGACCTGCTAGTAGGCAGTGCGTGTGCTCGTTGTAGGTGCCCATGGTGCTAAGTCCCCTGAGGACAATAAAAAGGGTCAACCATGATGCCTGCATGGTGAGGAGGCACCAGAGTCGGGTGGTTAATGCATGAGCTCTGGAATCGGATGGACTGGGTTCAAATCCTGGCCTCTCCACTACCATGTGGGCCACCTGAGGAGGGTTCGAAGAGTTAAATGCTGTTTGTAATTTGTAAAATTTGTAGAAACAAGTGAAGAGAACCTGCCTCCCTGGAAAGGGTATTGTGGGGTGCAGCATCCAGGCAGGTCAGGGCACCGCAGCTCCACCTCAGAAATTCTGGAGACACTGGGGACTGGTGCCTTTCCAGGGAGGCCACTGAGAGTACGCCTGCTCCTGGACTTGGAGCTGTGACAGAGAGGTCTTTGAAGGAGGTGATGTCTGGTAGCCCTGAGCTACTAGCACGAGAAGGGGAGTGAGTGGGGGTAAACTGATGCGTCTGAGGTGGCTGCCTGAATGGAAGTGTCTGGAGTAAGTCGCACCCGCGCTCCTCTGTCCGTCTTCCCTGCCTTAGTACACAGCCTCCCGTCGCCATCCTGAGACATCTGGGCACACTAGTGACGGCACAAACAGAGTTGGCTCCTGTTGCCCCAAGCCCCTGTCTCTTACCCTGACTCCCCCGCGCAAGCCCCCACCCTGGCAGGACCTAGGCTGCTCTGGCACTAGCAGGCTCTGTCTTACCCTGACCCCAGGGAAAAGGGCTGGGAAACTCATAGGCACTGGTTGCTGTCCCTGGGTCAGGTTCTGAGGAACCTACACACCTGGAGACCTAGGGGCTGACAGTTATGCAGGCTCCTGGAATCTACAGTCCTGAATAGTCCTTCATACGGTGGGGCGTGTCTGATGCCAAACAATTGCCAAGGGCTGTCTCTAAGTGCTAGACAATTCTGCTGGGGCTGGGCAGCTCAGCTTCATCCTTTGCCCTTTCATACCTTTTCTTCATTGCTCTTTGCGGGCATGCCCCCTCCCTCTGTCACACATTCTGATGCTGTGTCACAAGCATCAGGCTGAACAGTGCATGGTTCACCTGGGAGGAGCAGGTAGGTAGGAGAGCTCTCCAAATTGTGCACCACACTCCCAGGACCCAGCAGTGCACAAACCGCCCTTCATGGGCAACTTCCTTAGCAAGTGTCTCTTCTGCCCAGCCCCCATGCCAGGCCAGCCATCGCCCTCCCTGTTCCCCCTGCCTGGTCTGTTCCCCCTTCTGGCAGCGCCTGTGCCTCTCCTCACCCTAGCCCCGGGAGGTTCTCCCCAGACCCAGAGCCTTTACCCACCTCAGTTTTATATCACCCCCAAGAGCCCTATCCTATCTGATAGGCTCAGCACTCATCTCTGAGGTCCTTCCCTCGGTGTCCTGGTGGGCCCCTCAGAATGATGATTCTGTATCCTTGCACTTCAAAGATGTGCCACTCAGGAAAAGCACAGATCCCCTCTCCAAGGCCAAAGCGACTCTCCTCCCTTTGCTCCCTGAGCACAAGGTCGCATATAAGAGGCCTGGGCCATCCAGTCTGTTCCCAGATCCTTGCTTAAAAGAGATTGAGATGGTGGCCCTAGGAGCTCACAGAAAAGGGACAGCATAGCAGGAGTAGGATCAAACAGTGACAAAAGGCAGGGATCTCAGAGCGGGGCCCCCACAGCAGTGGGAGCGCACCATCAGCATGTAGGCCCCTTTGGGTAGCATAGCTTTGGGGTCATTGTGTCTGTCCCAAAGCCCAGTTCCATGTCTGGGGCACCCAGCTTTGGAGAAAGGCTGAGGAGAACACTACAGGTCATGTTTGGGGATACTTTGACCTGAGCACCAGGATGCTGTCAGCCTACAGCACCCTTGTTGCAATTAGAAAGTCCAGTTGTGTGGAGTGGAAACCTGTTCTGCAAGACCTTTCCTTCCTGCCTGCAGTCAGAGCACCTGAGGCCCGCCCAGCCAAAGCGCGCCTGTTCCTATTGAAGGAGACGGCACCACTGAGAATAAATGCGTGCCGGGAGGCACTTCTTAGATCTTATGCGTGCGGTGCTGCTGGAGCGTATCAGTGCAGGGGAAGGAGCCAGCACATCACTGTGCTGGAGATGCTTCTGTTCCTGCCTACGGTCAGACTACCTGGGACACACCTAACCAGAAGACGTCTGCAGCATTGAAGTTTCCAACACCACACCTGTGCTTGTTCCCACCTGCAGTCAGAGAACCTGGGTTCTATTTGTTGGAAGCACACGTGTGTAGTGAGAAGGGACAGCAGCATAACTGTGATGGAGGATGATCAAACAGTGATCAAAGGCAGGACTCTCAGAGAAGGGGCCCCCACAGCAGTGGGAGTACACCAACAGCTCCGAGGCCCCTTTGGGTAGCGGCAGCTTTGAGGCCATTATGCCTGTCCCCAAACCCAATTCCACGTCTGAGGCACCTAGTTCTCTTCCTGCATATGGACAGAGCACTTGGGGCCCACCTGGCTGATAAACACTTCTGTTCCAGCCTTCTCTCAGACACCTAGGGGAGCACAGCTGTTACTGTCGGAGGGGCTGGCACCACACCTGTGAATCCAGTCAGAGCACGAGGGACCTTCCAGTCCAGGGCACTGGTGCACTGCCAGGTGCAGTGGGAGGAGACGGCACCATTCCTGTGTTTGGGGCTATTTCTGTTCCCACCATCATTCGGAGCACCTGGGGTGTTTGTGGCCAGAGCCAGAAGGGACACTGTACGTTTTTAGGAAGATACTTCTGTTCTAGCCTTCAGTCAGACACCTGGGGCCTAGCCAGCCAGGATACCGCCTGCTGGCTTTGTAGGAGCCAAATCCACTGAGAAAATACCTGCGATTCAGGCACACTTTGCTCCTGCCTCTGGTTAGAGTAACTGCCTCTGTGGTGGACCTGGCCAACAGCAGCCTCTTTTTTAAGGCACTCTCCTCACCTGCCCAGATGCAAGTGGTAAATCGCCAGTTCATTCATTTTCTTCTAGTGAAAGAGGCAGGAACTCAACGGCCCAGATGCAAAAGTTTCCTCTAGACATGGTGGCAGATGGCCAGTGTCTCCCACGAGTGAACTTCACTCCGCTAGGAAGAGGCTCAGCCCATTCCAGTTACGTCACACAAACTTAACCTCTTTTTCTTCCTATAGCAAGCAGAGGCCCCACACCTCAAGGTCCTTTTGTACATGCCATAGGAGATGGGTTAAGATGAGGCTGGTCAGAGGCCGATACACTGGCTTGGGAAGTTCCACTGTGGAGAGAAGAGAGAGATCTGTAAGTATCAACCACACCACGCTCTAGTTTCGACTACCAGCCTGGAAGACCCCAGCTCTGGACCAGTCTTCCTCTAGCGTTGGGACTGGTAGGACCTCCCCTCCCCCTGCTGCCTACAGCTGCCCCTCTCCCCTTACCCAGTGTCTTCATGGTCCTTTCACTTTCTTTGCCAGGTTAACTATATAAAGCCTTCTTCATGTTAATTCGTCCCCTGCTCGCACGTCTTTGTTCTCTGACTAATCTGTGAAGAATTGACTTGTGTGAGTGGCAACAGGTTGAGCCAGACAACTTTTCAAAGTTTCACAGGACTCAGTAAATAGGACATGTACGTAGCCACACTCTGCAACTCCACGTGCTGACTTCGTTCGGAGGTCTGCAAGGGACGGCGGCCCAGGAGGCAGAGATGGGGTGACTCACTCTTGCTTCTGCCCTGTGTTTCCCCCACCGTCTGACCTCACTGTAGGCCACATCATCCCTGCTGTGTGCAAAGACAATTTTAGTCTTTTTTAAATGTGTGAATATCTCTTTTGGATCTTTTTCTTTAAATTAGACTTAGGCCAGGCATTCTACTACAGTCACACATTCCCAATGACTTTTTTGCAGGAGTAGAAAAACCCATGCTAGAATTCATATGGAATCTCAAGGGACCTGAGTAGCCAAAACAATCTTGAAAAACAAGAAGAAAGTTTGAGAGCCACACTTGCTGATTTCAAAACTTACTACAAAGAGAAATTAATCAAAACAGCATGCTACTGGCATAAAGACAGACATGCAGACCAGTAGAATAGAAGAGAGAGCCCAGACATACGCCCTCACTTGTAGGGTCAAGTGATCTTTGACAATGGTGCCAAGACCATTCAATGGGGAAAAGGACAGTCCTTTCAACAAATAGTGCTGATAGAGCTGGATATCCACCTGCAAGAAATGAAGTGAGACCCTTACCTTATACTATATACAAAAACTAACGAAAAAAGGGGTTAACAACCTAAACGTAAAGGCTCAAAGTATACAGCTCTTAGAAGGACACATGGGAAAAGCTTTCTGATATTGGATTTGGGAATAATTTATTAGATATGACACCAAAAATACAAACAAAAAAAGAAAACTAGATAAACTAGACTTCACACCAAAATTTAAAACTTCTGTACATACACTATCAAGAGAATGAAAAGGCAACTCTAGAGCAGGAGAAAATATTCGCAAGCCATATATCTAATAACGGATCAATATCCAAAATGTATAAAGAACTCCTACAATTCAACCACAAAAAAAAATAAACCAACTGAAAAATGGGCATTGAACAGACATTCTCCAAAGACAATATACAAATTACAAGCACATGAAAAGATGTTCAGCATCACTTATCATAGGGAAATTCAAACTGAATCCTAAACAAGACACCATTTCACATCTATTAGAGTGACTGTTAGCAATGAAAGAGAAAATAACAAATGTCAGCAAGGATGTGGAGAAATTGGAGTGCTTGTTCATTGCTTGTTTGAGTGACAAATCATGCAGCTGAGGGGAAAGCATTACGGCAGTTTCTCAAAAATTTACACATAGAATTACCTTATGATTCAGCAATTCCACTCCTAGGTATATACTCAAAATAATTTAAAGCAGAGACTCAGCTATTTGTCCACCCATGTTCACAGTGGCATTATTCACAATAGCCAAAAAGACATTCACAACCCAAGTGTCCATCGACAGATGAACAGATAAACAAAATGTCATATATACATGCAATGGAATATTATTCAGCCTTAAAAAGAAATAAATTCTGATCCATGCTCCATCCAAAATAAACCTGCAAAACATTATGTCAAGTGAAATACGCCAGGCACGGAAGGACAAATATTGTATGATTCCACTTCCACGAGGTTCCTAGAATAGGCCGATCCATATAGACAGTAAGTAGAATAGAGGCTCCCAGGGGCTGAGGGGAGTTATTGTTCAATGGGTACAGAGTTTTGGTTTGGGAGGAGGAAAAAGTTCCAGAGATGGAGACTGGTGATGGTGACACAACAATGTGAATGTACCTAATGCCACTTAAAAATTATGAAAGTGATGAATTTTATGTTACGTATATGTTACTACAATAAAAAAAAAATACACTAAGTGAAAGAATCCAACCACAAAGGACCACAAATTCTATGATTCCATTTACATGAAACCTCCAGATAGGCAAGTCCAGAGATTTTCCACGCAGAATGTAGATTAGCGTTTGCCCGGGACAAGGGGACACAGGGGCATTGGGAGGTGATAGCTAAGGGGCGCAGGGTTTCTTTCTGGGGTGATGAAAATGTTCTAAAATGGACTGTGGTGGTTTTTGCACATATTTGTGGATATACTAATAGCCCTTGAATTCTACACTTTAATGGGTGAATTGTATGGTATGTGAATTATAGCTCAAAAAAGTGATTATGAAAAAATCAATGTAATTCATCATATTCAGAAAATAAAGGAGTAAAGCCAAGTGATTATCTCAATAGCTGTGGACAAATTAATTGACGAAATTTAATGTTCCTTCCAAAAAAATCTTTTAACAAAGTGGAAATTAGAGGGAATTTCTTTTATGTGGTAATGTGCACATCAAAAACAAAACTTCAGTTAGCGGCACACTGAACACTTTTCTCCGAAGATCAGGAACTGGAAAATGATGTCCATTGTCTGTACATGTACTCCACATTTTACTGGAGGTTGTAGCAAATGTAGAATGCAAGAAAAAGAAATAAAAGACACAAATTAAAAAGTAAGAAGTAAAATTTCCTTAAATGCATACAAATCATGATTGTGTTTGTAGAAAATCCTGTAGAGCCTAGAAAGATGCCGCAAGAAGAAAGGTGTGAATTTAGCAACTGCTGCTATATAAGGTCGATATATATATATAAAGCAATTGTTTTTTTCTGAATACTACCATATGCCAAGACGTGTGTAACTCTGTGTGTGTGTGTGTGTGTGCATGTGTGTGTGTCCGATAGTGGAGTGGAAAGTTAGTATTGGTAAGCTGTCAGTTTCAGCCAGGACTCTGACGGCTGGTCTATGAAATTATCACGAGACGTCAGTGCCCTTGGGGCACGAGGCTTTCCGGCCAGGGTGGCTGCTGCACCCACCTGCTGTGCATCACAGACAGTGCGGTTGGCCTCAAGGCTCAATTAGAAGAGAAAGGCCTGATGGTGTATGCTGACAATTGTTGGTCCCTGCAAATGTCAAGGTAAGAAAGAGAATTAAAGGGCATCCAGATTAAAACAGAAAAGTTAAAGCAGCTTTGCTCATATCAACACGATTCATGTAAAACATTACCGTGTATATAGAAAATCCTAAGGAATCGCTGAAGAAGCTACCAGAAATCAAAAGTGAATTTACTAAGGTGTCAGTATACAAGTCAATCTGTTTTTTTAATGTATTTTCGGTATAGTACCAATGTTCAATTGAAAGCTAAAATTGAAAAGATATATTTTGCAATAGCATTTACAAAAACCATAAAAAACTTAGAAATAAATTAGCAAAAGCTGCACAAGATGTATACACAGAAAACTACACAGCGGCTGGAAACTTTCTCTTAAAGGGCCAGATAGTAAATATTATAGGCTTTGTGAGTTACCTATGGTCTCTTTCAAATATTCTTCTTTGTTTTTATTTTTAAAAACCTCTTTAAAAATGTTAACACCATACTTCGTCACTGGCCTTATAAAAACAACTGGGGCCAAATTTAGCCTATAGGCCATAGTTTGTGGACCCTCCTACAAAACATCGCTGAGAAAAAATTTTAAAAGACCTAAATATATGGAGATACATATCCTGCTACTGTACTGGAAAAGTTAATATTGAGAAATTGTACATTTTGGCCAGGACCCTGAAAGCTGGTCTTTGGAATTACTACAAGAGATGTTGGTGCCCTTGGGGCAGAAAGCGTTTAGGCCAGGATGACCCTGTGCCCACCTGTCCTTGGCCCTGGGAGAAGACAAGTCACAGAGAGCTTCACGGTTTGCTGCAAGGCTCAATTAGAAAAGAAATCCCTACGGAGCTGTTCTGACAACAGCAGCCCCTGCTCTGCATCTCCTAGGAGACCGAGGCCCATCGTGGCCAGTGGTGACACCTGAGTTGAACCGAATGAGAAAGACCTCCCAGCAGGCAGTGTGTGTGCTCACTGTAGGTGCCCATGGTGCTAAGTACCCCGAGGACCATAAAAATGGTCATCCGTGATGCCTGCATGCTGAGGAGGCACCATCGTGTGCTGGTTCAACGCACCATCTACAGAATCAAATCCTGGCAGGGCCACTCCACCTGTGTGAGCTGAGGACGGTTCTCAAACTCAAATGCTGTTTTACCAAATTTGTAAAAATAGGTGAAGAAAACCTGCCTGCCAGGAAGGGACGATGTGGGGCGCAGCATCCGGGCACGTCAGGACGCAGGTTCCTCCCCTCAGAAACCTTGACGGCCCAGCTAGGGATGCTCCAGGCTCTCAGCCCTCCAGGCCGGCCTCAGAGAAAGCGCCTGACTCCAACACTTGGAGAGGCGCTTACAGAGCATCCTGGAGGAGGTGGTGTCAGGTGTCCTGAGCACGGAGCTGCCTGCATGGGGGGAGGGGAGCAGGAGCGAGACCCGGAGGGTAAACTGTCATCATTGGCAACTGCCTAAAAGGAAGAGGCCCCAGCTTCTTGCACCCCATGCTGCTCTGGTGTCTCCTCACCTTAGCACCTGCCCTGTGCAGCCTCCCTGGCTCCCTGGTACACCAGTCACCTCGGGAGACAGCGCAGCCCTCTCCCCCTCCGCATCCGGTCCCTCCTACCCAGCCCCCCCAGTGAGCCTGATCCCCACCTGGAGCTGGGCTGCTCCTCTGACTCTGAGCAGGTTCTTCCCTCCGGTGACCCCGGGGAAGTAGCTGCAGGATGCTTGGACACTGATCGCAGAAGCTACTGTCCCCGGGCCAGGCGCTGCAGGGTCGAGCAGCCGCAGACCCAAAGAGTCCCTACATTGTGGGGGGCACATATGAGGGTGAGCCCCCGCAATACTTCACATCTGCGCGGAGTCCCGGGGAGGTCGAGGCCACCTGGGGTTGGGCCGTTGGACCTCTCCCTTTGCCCTTTGTCGCTACTTCCTCCTGCCCTAGGCTCGCGCGCCCTGTCTCTGTCACCCGTTCCAACGGTGTCTCACCACAGCCGGCTGGACGGTGTGTGCCTAGCGCGGAGAGCTGGCAGCCAGGAGACCTCCCCGAGGGTCCCAGTCCTCTCCAAGGATCCCACAGCGCGCAAACTGCTCCTCGGGGGCACGTTCCTCAACAAGCCTCGCACCCGCCCGCCCCGCTCCGTTCCTGTCTGGTCTAAATAACCCTCCCGGCCTGGTTCGGGCTGTTTACTGCAGTCGCGGGTCCTTATCGCCCCTATTTTACACTGCGGCTAAGAGGCTAAGCTAAGGTCTGGTCTGGCAGGCCCAGTGCTCCTCTCTGTGAGTCCTTGCCTTGGTGCGGTGTGTGTGTGTCTGACCTTCGGGTCTCAGAAGCCATTGCTGTCTGCTTGCTCTTCCAAGTTGCTCCTCTCCTCAGGAACGGGCACAATTCCTCCTCCAGGATGCAAAATGACTCTCTTCCGTTTGGCGCTTGAGCAGGCAGCCTCCTCTCCGAGGCCTGGGCCATCCCGTCGCCACTAGATCTTTGCCTAAAGGGGACACACCTGAAGATCCTACAAAAGGAAGAGCAGAGAAGAGGAGAAAAATAGCACAGGATGGACCGTCAGAGAAGTGCTCCTCGCTGGCCCCCATAGCAGTGAGAGGGGGCCTTCAGCAGGTAGGGCCCTGGACCCCGCAGGGGTGGTGCGGCCCTCACTTCCTTCCGGCGCAGTCCTGGGCCTCCAAGGGAAACCTCCATTCCCAGCTCCCAGGAGACACCTTGAATAAGAAAGTGAAAACATCTTCTGAGCCCATTTATAACCGAGCAAAAAGGGGCTCCTGCTCGATGCAGCCTGGTGCCAATCAATTGCAAATAAGCCAGTGGTTGAGGAAAGAATTTATCTGATTAGCTAAGCATAATCGGAAGATGGTGGACTGGTGTCCTGAAGAAGCATGCTCAAATCATACAGAATCTTGAGGCAGTTATATAGGGGAAACCGACAGTGAAGGAGGGGGTTTGTGGGTGTTGACCATCCCGTGTGACGAACTTCAAGGCGCCACATTCTTTCTTTCTTCTGTCATTTGTGATGGGTACCAATGCAGGATTTTTCTTCCTGGAAGTCGTCATGTTCCTGAGGAACTCAGAGAACAGTTATTGTCTTACCACGGCTGGGAAATAGACATAAGCAAGAGTCATAGAACTATCAGATCATGTATTCTGCAAAAGTGAGAGGTGCTTAATCACCTAGGCTACATGCAGGCGAGAACATATTCACAGAGACTAGTGAGGCAGGGCTGTAATTCAATATTGCTTCCTTTCCCTAAGCTGGCTGCCCTCATGCTGACTTAAGATCTAGCTGTTACACATTCACCAAAGGCCATGTCATCCCCAGCTCTTAAAGCCCTCCTGGAGGCCGCCCCTCTCTGTGGAGGACTGACCTGAATGTAGGGGGCTGTGTGGCCCATTCTCAACCTACCCCTGCTGCCAAAGAGGTGGACAAAGCAAAAGCTGGACGAAGGCCATCCACCCAGCTCTCCAGCCTCACTGAAGTCAGAGGGGACACAGGGAACAAAGCTTCAGATACTCCGTCAAGAAGGAACTTTCCGAAGCCATCTGCCAGTTGTAGGCTCTGTAAACGAAAATGTCTGCGCCCCTTGCTGCCGCCACTGCTAGTGTTTTGGGAGGAGAAAAGCTGCCTCCATCTCCTGGGTTCCTTGCGTAGTCATTGGTGAGGACCTAGGCTTGGAGGAGAAAGCTGAGCTCCAACGGAACCACGAGGTGTTGGAGGATAAAACTGAGGCCACTTCAGACTGCAGTGCCAATCAGCCTGCCTGTTCTTCCTTCCTGCCTGCTGCAGCACTGCAGAGACCCCTGCCACTTGCACCTTGCACATCCCAGCTCCTGCCTTATTACTGGACACTGACTTGGCTGACCTGCCTGCCAGGCCCCCAACCCTGTCTGCCCCTATACCCATCCCTGCACGAGATATTGATCATGAAACGAGATGCCCAAATTCTAACTCTCCTTTTGCTGTTCCTGCTGAATCTCTTTTTCCCGTTAGGATAAATAGTAATAAGAATAATAACAATAATAATAATATGACCAACCACCCAATAAAAAATGGGCAAAACATTTAAACAATCCCTTTCCAAAAAGCGATTCACAAATGTTCACTAAGCCCTTTAAAAAATGTTCAACACCATTAGCCATCAGGGAAATTAAAATTGAACCACAGTGAGAGAGACCATTATGCAACCACCAGAAAGGGTGAAGATCGCAAGTCTGACAGCTCCAAATGCTCGCTGGGATGGGGAGCACCTGGAAGGCTTCTTGCTTCTAGTGAGAAGATAAAATGGTGCCGCTGCTATGAAAGACAGTCACAGTTTCTCATAAAACTAAACATTCACCTACCCGGGAAATACCTCTGGTGCCAATCCGTAAGAGAATAGAAAAACAAATTGTGAAGTATTCATACTACTCAGCTATCCAGGAAAGAATCCCTGATAATGGGCAACAATAGAGATGAATCGAAACAGCATCTTACTAATTAGAAGAGGCCTTACACCAGAAACAGTGCATGCTGCATGTCCCCACTTATGTGGAAGGCCAGAACAGCCAAATCTCACCTTTACGAGAAGAATCCCTGAAGGATTGTGAGGGGAGAGATGGACTGAACCCAGAGTCACAGCTGGATCACAGCAGTGAGCAAATCAGGACTTGCCAACTGGGAGGAGCCAGGGCCGCCTCCCCATCCGTGGTCCTCCCTAAGGGCTGAGCTCCCATCAGTGGTCCTCTCTAAGGGATGAGCTGCTCTCTCTCTGTGCTGACCCGCCTGCTCCAGGGAGAGGGGATCTGGCCTAGATCAGATTCCCGCAGTCCAGGCACATGGGTCCCGGGAGTTGGGGTCCACAGCCCACGAAATTCCCTTCAGGCGGATGTTGAGATTACTCCTAATAGGGCCTGTGACTTCGCCCTCATATTCACCAAGCCTTTTCTGCACCCAAGATTGCTTCGTTCTTGCCTTGTTCCTCCCCTCTGCTGTCTTCTCATTCTCTGCCACACCCCGACTTAGTGTTATTCTTTTCCAAATGATTTTTTTAGTGTTTAAATATTTTCATAACAGTTATAAAGAAGAGTTAGCCTTCTCTGCCATGATAATGGTCAATTTCAACTGTGTAGCAAAATCTGCTTGCAAAACAAGGACTTTAGGATGATATTCTTTATACTCTTCATTTTTTTTCCAATCCAGTCTTTGAGGTAAAATGTATGTAAAATAAAATGTAGCTATTTTAAGTGTAGAATTTGGTAAGTTTTGACCAATAGATTCACTTGAGTACATAACAAAGTAATTAAGATACAGATCTAATAGTATTCATCATCCGAAAAATTCCCTTTTGCCCCTTTGCTCTCAGTCCCTCCACACGTCCAAAACATCGGAACCTCCAAACATCAATTGATCTATTTTCTGACAGTATAGCTTAGTTTTTCCCTCTCTAGAATTTCATATAAATGGAATCATGCATTAGGTAGGTTTTTGTGTGCCTCTCTTTTTGGTCAGTATAACGATTTTTAGATTAATCTGTGTTGTTGCATGAATCCATAGTTCTTTCCATTTTATTTTGGAGTTAGGAACCCACTGTATGAATACACCAGACAGAGTGTGTTTATCCATTTTCTGAGGAGGGGTCAACTGATGTAAGAGACAGTGAGGAGCCCCAGCCTCACAAAGCGGATTACAGAAAGGAAAGGTGGGAGTCTGGTGACAATAGCTCAATAATCAACGCAATGTGCAACTTGAGCTGTTTCCTGTAACCTCTTTTTTGTGAGCTGTCTCTCTTTGCATTATTTGGCGCTTGGTTTGCAAATTCACTTTCGGAGTTTCCTCTCTGATCTGGGGGTTGTTCATGAGTGTTTAAAAATTTCCAAGTGAGTGAAGACTTTTGGAAAATCTTTTCATTATCTGCTACTATTTACTGGATCGTGATGAGGGGATATAAATTAGAAAATCCCTCTTTTGTAACTTTACTAAGGATTTTAGTTTGGGCAACAGAGATGCTTGATCTTTGTAGGTTCCTGGGACGTAGCAAGAGTATAGGCTGATACACAGGTCGCAATATCTACATATACGTTACATCGGTCTTGAATTATTCACATTCTCTATGGCCTTGTTGAATTTTCTTTTGCTAGATTTGTTAAATTCTGCAAGAGGCACCTTTACGTATTCCAGTAACATCTATTTTTTCTCATGTTCAATTTACATGTTCTTTTTTTTGGCCTTATAGCTTTAATAATTTTCATATTAAAATTTTCATTGATTGGCTTTGTGAATATTACATATGTGTATATCATATTACTTGTTTGCCTGATTAGTGCTTTTTAGGCTAAATTCCAGTAAGCTTGATAATCTTTTCAATTGTACATTTTTTTCTTTTGCATTTTCTTATTTCTTGGCCCATTTCTTTACATATTTTTTGATAACTTTCTTGAGGTACATCCATATAAATTCGCCCATTTTAACTGTACTGTTTAATGTTTTCTAGTAAATGTACCGATGCGACCATCACTATAATCCAATTTTAGAACATTTTCATCATCTCAATAAGATCTCTCACGTCTGGTGAGAGTTCGTTCTTGTTGCTACCCCCAGCTCCAGGCAACTATTAACCTACTTTCTTTCTCTTCAGATTTGCCTCTTCTTGACATTTCATATAAATAGAATCATAAAATTTGTGGTCTTTGAGTCTGGCTTCTCTCATTTAGCATGTTTTCAAGATTTATTCATGGATTGTAGCATGAGTCAGTACTTCATTCATTCTTTATGACTGAATAATATTCCACTGTACTTATATACCACATTTAGTTTTTCCATTCATCAGTCAATAGACATTTGAATTGTTTCTACCTTTTGCTCTTATGAAAAATGCTCCTATTAATATTTGCATATAAGTTTTTGTGTGAAGGTATGTTTTTAATTTGGGGCGTTATGCCAAATAGAAAAGTTGATGGATTATATGGCAATATTTTGAGGAACTGCTCCAAGGTAATGTATGAGACTCTCAATTTCTCCACGTCTTCACCAATACTTGCTATTTTTCATCTGTTTTAGTGTATCCATTCTAGTTGGTGTGCACTGGTATGTCATTATGGTTTTAATTTGCATTTCCTTAATGACTAATGAGGTTGAGTATCTTTTCATGCACTTATTGGCCATCTGTATGTCTTCTCTGGAGTCTCATTTGTTTTTAAGGCAGTTTGAGGTAGATTTTTCTGTCACTTGTGGTATAGAGTACAAACTGATTCAATGGGTATGTTTCATCTTGGAGAAAGAATTTAGGGTTCTCTATCTCTCTAATAAACCTTAATCATAACGGTCATACACAGAAGCATACAAGTCATAAGTAGATGGCTCCATATGTTTTCACAGAATGAACAAACAAACTTACAATCAAGAAAAAAAACATTATTAGGACATTGGAATCTCTTTCACACTCACTCCTGTTTGCTATCCCCCTCCCATAAACTTTTAACATCAGATTAGTTTTACCTGTTTTAAAACTTGATATACATAGATTCAATGTGTACATTCTTTTTAATTTAATTTTATTGTGGCAAAAACACTCAAGGTGAGATCCTCTTAACAACTTTTTAAGTGTACAACACAGTATTAAACATACACACAATGATGCGTAGCAGATCTCTAGAACTTATTCATCGTGCATAAGTAAAACTTTATGGCTGTGGTTGAGCAGTGCTCTCTTTCCCCCTCCAATCTCTAGTAACCACCATTCCACTCTCTGATTATATAAGGTTAACTATACAAGCAGAGAGTAAAATCATGTGATATTTGAAGTCAAAGCCAAAGCACTTGGACAAGAAAAAGAGGTAAAACACATCCAAATCAGAAAGGAAGAAGTAAAATTGTTCCTGTTTGCCAGTCACATGATCTTATATATAGAAACCCCTAAATACTCCATTAAAAAACTGTTAGAACTAATAAATTTAGTAAAGTTTCAGGATACAAAATCAACACACAAAAATCAATTGTATTTCTATACATTAACAATGACCTATCTGAAAAGAAAATTAGGAAAACAATCTCATTTAAAATAGCACCAAAAAAATGAAATATTTAGGAATACACTTAACTAAGGAAGTGAAAGATGTATACACTGGAAACTACAAAATATTGATGAAATAAGGTAAAGAAGACACAAGCAAATGGAAATGCATTGCATGTTCATGAATTGGAAAAATTAAGATTATTAAAATGTCCATACTACCCAAAGCTATTTACGGATTCAACACAATCCCTAATGATTCCCAGTGACAAATAAAAATGGCAAGCAATAGGATATATTGGAGTATATGAGGAAGCCATTTGGTATAAACCTAATTCAGCCTGACTTTGTTTTTTCCAAAAGGGCCTGACTGTGGCTATTGAGCATGCATTGCATATCTGCTTAGACATTTCCCATGGCCAGAACAAAGGCCCTTGAGATAAAGGTGCAACTTCCCCCCACATTAGCATTTCCTTAGGGATAAGCATTTTTCCTTAGGCTAGGAACTGATTGCTGCACTCACCTTTGACCACCCAGCTCACCTGTGACCACTCAGCTGGAGACAACAGACTGCCACCCTGCTGTGTTCACTGAGACAGAATACCTACCTGCTGTTTCCATCAATCGCTGTGCCCACAGAGCAGTCTCACAACTATTGTTAAAGGGACATTTCAATCCTATGTGAAACATCCTCTCTGGGGGTATATAACCAGTCTGTGCACCCCACTTCTTTGGTGCCCTTTCTTCCTTCGGGAAGAAAGGCCCCAGGTTATAATCCTCAGATTTAAGCTCAGAATAAAGTCACCCAAATTTTCATTTATAGATTGGTTATGGATTATTTTTGTCGACACCAGTGACATTTCTTACAGAAATAGAAAAAACAATTCTAAAATTCATCTGGAACCACAAGGACCCTGAATGGCTGAATCAGTCTTGAGAAAGATGAACAAAGCTGGAGGCAGCATACTTCTTGATTTCAAAGTGTGTACTTTTTTTGCATCTGGGTTTTTTAATTCAACACTCTTTATGAAATTCATCCATGTTGTTATTTTAGCAGTGGACTGTTGTTTTATATTGCTGTATAGTATTCCTTTGAACAAATATACCATAATTTATTTATCCATTCTATTGCTGATGGGCATGTGAATTCTTCCCATTTTTGGGTATTAGAAATTTGTGCTGCTATGAACATTCATATTCTTGAATATTTTCAGTGATTCCTACTAGAATATTTATTGTTTAACCTTTCACATTTAAATCTGTAATTCTCCTGCAGTTCTGAACATCTTTTGTATACGTATTTATGCTTATTGGTGCTACCATAAATACTCCAGAAGGGACTTACTTTTGCACCTAGCAGGCAGTTAGAGTGGGGAAGCACACTTTCTCCCGGGATTGATCAAAATCAGAGCTGGCTTCACTCTTTGTGAAGGCTGGGCATCTCCTACTTACTCTTACACCTGGAATATTGCTCCTCAGAAGTTTCACAGGAAAGCCCCTTCTTTGGTTGGCCCTGAACTGAGATTTCTTTCTCTCAGGGGTCCCTGAGACTACTGAAAGCCCTGCTCAGCTTCTCTGCCTCAGAGTCACAGTTTTCTGTTTAGCCTTTTAGAAGCCTGGAAGAAATCAATTGGCCTTGTTGTAAAGTCTTATGGAGGGAGCCCCAAGGCAATTACCTGAGGGCAGCCTTTAGGAGCTGAAAGCAGTTTCTATCTGGCAGACAATCAAAAAACAATGACCTCATTCCAACCACTTCAAGGAACTAAATTATGGCAACAACCTGAATGAACTTCAAAGAAGATCACAGCTCCAAATGAGACTGCCACTATAGTTAAAACCTTGAATTCAGTCTTGTGAGACCCTGATTAGAGAACTTAGCTATGCTATGCCCAGACATCTGACCCATAAGAACTGTCACATAATAGATATATGTTATTTTAAGCCACTAAGTTTGTGGTGAGCAGAATACTAATTTACTTACATATCTAGTGCTTTATGTAGATATGGAAAAACTTTTTCAATGCAGAAAGTGATACCAGAAGTAGGAGAGGACGCTAGCAAGGAGAGCAACTCCTTGAACCAAAACAGAGGGAGATGTGGAAGGAGTCCCACATGTGCCTGAGGGGCATTTTCTCTGAGGTGAGCCAAGGGTTGGCACCTTTATCTTCACATTGAGCTGGTGTGTGCAAGCAAAAAGTGTTGTGAAACCTCATTTTCCAGATGTGACCAGTGTTTCAGTGTCCTTAGGTGTGAACAAAGAAACAACAACCTGTCAGCAGAGTGCCCAAGTCAGTTTTTACCCAACATTAGAGTAGACTGAAGATAAGAGAAGTGGTTTGAACCTCCAGGCACCAGACAAAAAAATAGCAGAAAATAGGAGAGCAGAGTTCTCACTGCTTTTTCTCTCTTGTTATGGAGGACCAAGGGGTAAGTAAATTCCTCAGGGTCCCGGAACCCAAGAATTTTCTTTTCCCCCATCTCACCCAGAGCTGGCCTTACCTGAAGTAATTAATTATTAATTAATGCATTTATTGTTTCATTGGGGGAAAAAATGGCCCTTAAAGGAAAATTTGAAAATAATGAAAGAACTCACTAAAAAAAATTACTGTTATTACCACTTGAACATAAAATGTTAATATTTGAACACATCTCCTTCAGTTGTTTTTTTCCTCTATGTGTCTTCAATACTTATTATCAATTCATGTATGCATTAATTCAATTTTTATATTAATAATGATTTTATATGTAACTAAACACTATTTATTTAACCTCAATTTCATGTCTACCCTAAGGAAATAGAGCTGAACAGTGTAAGGCTGATCAGTCTTCATTATTCCAACCAGAATACATCTTTTGTGACAGAGAGCTGGAGGACGAGAATAAGCACCTGGCTCAAAGCCAACAGGCTCAAACTCTTCTTTCTGAGATTCAGTAGATTTTCTTCAATAAAGGCTTCTTAATTCATTGTATGATGTTTGCTCAAGACTTTAGAAATGTTCATTCACATTCACAGTTTTTCCCAGTTTTATTATTGTTTCTCCAGGAAGAGAATTTGCAAGCTCCTCACACAGCTATTTTTGAAGTCTTGATAGTATCATTGTTTATATTGTGGTGGATTCGATTTCCTGATATTTTCTTGTGAATTTTAAAAATTTAAATAGTA